GTTTGATGCAAAGGACTTTCGTTTGTTGAACAATTTTCAATAACAGTTTCAAACAAACAATTAATTTTTCATCCATTTCATGAAATTTTTTTTCACTTTTTAAAGGTTTTTTTTATTCCTTAAGGAAAAAAAATTTTTGTTAGATGTTTTTTAATTTTATGATTTTCTTTTGTTTTCTGATTTCTCAATGTTTATTTTCATTATGGTTTTTAATAAATTAGGTTGACAAAATTTGCATATGTAATTTTCTTAAATTTTTCATTTTCCATTCTTGAATCCCGCGACCCCTGTCACGATCAATAAAAAATCTTCAGAAATGAGAGAGAGACCCTGGCATACCCCAGAAATGTTGAAAAAATTATTCTTAGCTCAACAAAAAAGGATTAAAAAGAAATAAAATGTTTGGTGACTTGGTTATATTTTTGAAAGTGGTTCGAGTCAAAATCTCTTCCTAATTTAATTCATTTTACACGCCAAGGTTTTTTGAAATTGACTACCGAAAATTGTCGAAAGTTACCGAAAACAAAAATGGCTCTAATATTTTTTCCTTTTGTTTGTTTAATTGGTTGAAAAAAAACCTATGTCCGGTTGTGTTCGTCATTCAGTCCGGCTAAGGCCAATTTCAAGATCCCAGTTTGATATTCGTTAGTGTTTCTTTGAGAAATGACCAATGTCATTTAAAACATTTTCCGTCACTTACAGAATGAGGCTAAGGTATTGGACTGGCAAGAGTAAGACTAAGAAACCGAAGCCTCAGAAGAAAAGAATGACTTCATAATTCTGTTACTTTTGGGCCACTTCGGTATAATAATACAAATAGATTTTCATCTTGCAGTGTTTTGACTTTAATTTATCTAAAAGAAAAGTGGGTGAAGATGATTTTTCCCCTGTTATAATATCTCAGAAGGGAGCCCTAACTGAGGAAATCAATTCTTCTCTTGTGTTGTTCTTCTGATATTTCAGAAATTCAAAACACAGTGAGCAATATTAATAACAATAATACTACAGAAACCAGAATTACAAATAAAAACAATTATTATTTTCAGGTAAGGAAAAACTCATTTTTCTTAAGCTTTTATTTTAAACAATTGAATGAAAATTTTTATATGAACTTTGTTTTTGATAAAATCATTTGTTTCATCATGGCAATTATCACTGGAATTTTATTTTTTTGTTGGTTAATTTTGATAATTTTGAAAACCCAGTATTTAAACTAGAAAAGAATTTTCCGTTGTTTTTTTTTATTTCACGACTGTTCATGGGAGTTGCATTGTTTTTTTTTTTAAATGTCATGTATTGACTGTAGGAGTTCTTAGAGAGGCAAAAAACAAGTTGTGGAGTTCCTTCATCGCCTGTGTCCTGAAGGAATATAAAAAAATGATTTTGGCTTTTGTTTAGAAATTTTCCTTTCCTTCAAGCTCATTTGACCAATGTCCTAATTAATTTCGCATTTTTAAATAATAAAGTTAAACCATTTTTTTTTTTTTTCACGATCCTCATTTAATTATTTTTAATCCCTTTTTTTATTGCATATTTCAAAATTCCAATCCCGGTAATTAAGACATAGAATACCTAGAGCATTTAGGTATGGAGTAAAATATTCTAAGAAGGAAAAATGTTTAAGTTCATTTTAATTTGAAATCATATATTCTTATTTTAAATACAAACTAGTGTTTTAAACCTTTTACTATCTAGAGTGTTGTTGAAAAGGGAAGGGTTTTTTTGTCGTTATCAATATTAATTGCACCCTCCAACCGCTATGTAAGCAATGATTAAAATTCATTTGAAACAAAACATGACAAATTTTTAAAAATTTCGCCTTCTAGCCATTGATTCAGTCATTTTTTGTTAATTTTATAATCAAAATGAAAAAGAGTTATTTGACAAGTTATATAAAGAGCTTTTTTAGCATTTCGTCCTACTAAAAAATTTTTCTTAAGGACTTAAGGTGGGGTTAGAAAAAAGTTGATAAATTTTTACAAGTAGTATAAATATCAGAGTTAATTTCAAACTAGTTTTAAGACATTGTCTTTTGGAGGTGAGAGTTTGTTAATGCTAGAGATTCACCCAATCACGAGATGCTTACAGAGAGCCATTCAAGGTAGAGGTTGAGAACTACAGATGTTAATGATGAATGACTCAAGAGATGTCAAGGTAGAGTGTTAAGAATAAGAGATAGGAAATACATAGTTTATGGGAAGATTTGAGGAAGATAGTTAATGAGTTAACCCTAGACTTGAACAGGTTAAAATTGTTGGGATTGGGGAAGTATACTCTAGGGAGTCTGTTCCACAAAATAGCAGTTTTTGAGAAGTTGTTTGAGTAGAACTTATGTCTCACCAATGGAATACGAAGGGAATGATGGTGGTTCACTGCAATGGGCAGGGTATGGCGGTTCTTAGCCATGAAGATTAGAATTGGTGCTACTAAGGAATTATTTAGTGTGTTTGAACACTTTCCATAGAAATAATGCTAGAGCATTTGAAATACTAAAGTTCACCCAATATAAGGCTGAATTGCCAGTCAAGGTAGAGCGTTACTGTTAAAATGGTTATGATGAATAGAAGATGTGGTAGAAAATTAAGTTTATGACAATAAGTGTTGTAGCATACCTACGTACGATAATGGATATGTCCACATTCACATAAATACAGTAGTAAATACTGTATGTTGGTCTGCACTTGGGGATTCGTCTCCAGCTGTGCTGGTCAAACTCTCTGCCACCAGGCAGAAAGGATCCCCAGATCCAGGTTATGCTGAAGGGTAGAGTCTCGTTTTGGGAAACAGCTACCCAACCCTGTTTTATACAGGGTCTACAGGGAATGTTTGGCCAAGCCTACAGGCTCAGATACCCCACATTAAATTTGGTTTTGTGCCACATCTGACTGTGTGAGGTGGTTGGTAGATATCCTGCAGTTGGAGATTCATTGCAGAATTCACTTGACTCACTTCTAGCAGTTGACTACTTCTTCTATGCATCACTGGTGAATCTTATATGTGTTGTTCTTGTCCTAAGTATTATCATTCATTACCAACCTTCGTTTGATTATTCTATTCAGTAACCTTCCCTAGGTTGCAACAATATTTTAGATTTATAAAACAGATTTTAATTTTAATAAGGACATTTGTGGTTTCTTTTCATTTATAAAGTTTCAGACAGGAAGTTGCAGAGAGCCATGATCACTCAGATTATTGATACATAGTTGCATAAAAAAGACATCTCTTCAATATAAATAGATTATATGGCTCTCCATTTCATGTTCCTGTCTTTTAATTAAGTCTTCTTAACTTTGACCCTTTATCATCCATCTTTGTTCTTGTTCTGCCACCTATACCTATATTGTGCCAAATCCTTTATAAAGTAAATGATCATGGCTCTTCACAATTTCCTCTCCTTTGTGGCTCTAAGTAACATTTTATAAGTTTAAAATCACTAAACACAAATTGATATAACTTCCCATTATATTTTATGTAAAAATCCTTTCCAGAAAAGAAACAATCATGGCTCTCTACAATTTCCTCTTTTATTGCTTTTATAAATTTTGTCCAAAATTATCTTCATGAAATAGGAATCTATTCATCATTAATTTTTTAAAATATCCCCTTCCCATTTCTTGTACTTTTTTGGTTTTAATAATTTCACTCCAAGCAATAAATAAAGCCACTAAGATGCAAAAAAAAAAATTAAACTGAGAAAATGTTATATATTTTATATATATTATAGAACAGATTTCAAAAAAGACAAAAGATGACAATTGACATAATAATTTTTGAAGGTCGTAGTTAAGAGGGAAGCAAGAAACTGGAAGAAATTTTGAAGCAAGAAGAAAGAGAAGAAACTATTAGCATAGAACTTATGGTTACATCTAGCCAATTCTACTTTGAATTGATGAGACCTAACTACCAATCTAGTACTATGTTTAAATTCATGAAGTTGAGGTACCAAAGAGGAAAGTTTGTCAGAACAATTGCCATGAAAATATTTATAGGAAAAAGTTATGGAAGCTACATTACGGTGGTGGGAAAATGCTTGAAACCGAAATGCCAGGTTCAGACTGATAACATTGCAGATTCTCCTTTGGATTTTTTCAAGAATCTCTAAATTCATTGTAGAGGCACCAGCCCAGATTTGACAACAATATGATCAATGGTAAACTTATATATGTGCAAGTAGATTCTGTTAAGAAAAATTGTCTAGCACGACAGGTAACCAACTTTTCTCTCAGCAGCTGACATGATATAATTGCCTTTAATAAAAAGGTGATCATATTTTTTGCCTGAATCTTCTTTGTCTTCTATGTGCTGTTTTTCTTCAGGATGTTGGTGATTATGGCTCTCCACAATTTCCTGTCCTTTGTAGCTCTTAGTAAATTTTTGTCTTTTTGTTATCTCTCCTAAACTCTTTTTGGCCATTCTTTTACACAAGGTTGTTAGGTAGGTTATGCACTGTTTTTCTCTGTCCCTCTTGCCTTCTATGTCCTGTGAGTACCAAATTTTCCAAGCCCTCTTTCCTCATGGCGTAAGTGGAAGGGGAAGAAAAGAGATTTTATTGTTTGGAAAAGGGAAGAAAGACATGATCATCTCTTTGATTTTGCCATATGAAACTGAGTAGGAAGAGACAATATCATCAACAATTGTTTTTCTCTTAACTTTTCTTTTTGATTTACCAGTATCACTGCTAGCTTTCTTTGGAGTCATGACTGAGGACTAATAAAGAGAAAAAAACGTTACAGTACAATAAAATTGGAAAAGAAAAGCATAGCACAACACATGACTGTATATAACATGGCAGTTGACTAAGAAATGATTCCGTTCAGTTTAACTTGGTTTGGCTTGGTTCGGCAATGTTGTTCAAGAGACAAAATTTTATTTGATAACCGAGGCATTTTCATCTCCAATATTCTGTTCAAAAACCAATTTGTTTGACAAGTGAGACGTTCAAGAACCGAGGTTGCTCTGTAATTTAAAAAGACATTTGTGAAGCAGTAATTATAATTATTATGGTTCTCTTTTCTTTTTTCTCTTCCTCTTTTCCTCCTCCTCCTCCTCCTTATTCTCTGCCTTTTCTTTCTTTCTCTCTCCCTTATTATTTTCCTCTTCTCTTTTATCTTTATTCCCCTTTTTCCTTGTCACTTCCTCCTCTTTTCTCGTTCTTCTTTCTAATCATTCTGGTTCTCTTTTCACCACCTACCCTTTCTTTTTCTTTCTACTTCTCCTTGTTTTTCTTCTTCCTTTTTATTTTTTTTACCTTTTCTCATGCTTTTTCTCCTGTTCTTTCTTCATTTTTCTTTCCATCATCCTCACTTCTCTTTCTTCTCCTTCTCCTTTCTACTTCTTCTTCCTCTTTTTCTTCCTTTTCCTAATCCTCCTCCTTCTCTTCTTCTCTTCCCCCTCCTTCTTTTAATTTCTTCTTCCCCCTCCTTTTCTTTATTGTTTTTCTCTCATCATCCTCTTTCTTTTTTTTCTTTTCCTTCTTCCCTCTTAATATTTTTATCTCTTCCTATTCATTTCTTCCTCTCTCTCTCTGTCCTCTCTCTTTCTGTCTATTTCTCTCCATCCTTCTCTTTTTCTTCTTGCTTCTTTTTACATCATCTTTTTCTTTAGTCTCCTCCTCTTTCCTTTATCTTCTCCTCCTCATCTTTCTTTCTCATTTTTTCTCTTCCTTCTCTCTACTTTTGTCCCTCCTACTTCTTCTTTATAATTTCTTTTTTCTATCTTTTTCTTCTCTTCCTCCTTCTCCCCAGCTTTCTTTTCTTTCTACTCTATCATAATCTTTTTTTTTTCTTACTCCTCAATTTTTTTTAGCTATGGGTTAAATAGTAGGACAAAGGAAAAATGATTATTCTCTAAAAAATGTTACTGGAATATTCACTAAATAAATAAAAAAATTATTATTATAATCCAAAAAATTATTATTATTATTGCAATCCAATGTTTATTATTATTACAATGATTATTATTATTACAATCCAAAAAAATGATTCCCAACTGACAATGGGTTAATAATCCGTAAAAGTAAATCATCAATCAATCTTCCTTTTTTATTTTTGTCTTTTCCTCATCATTCTTTCTTCTTTTTAGTTTTCTTCTTCTTCTAACTTCTTTTTCTCTGCTTCCTTTCTCTCTCTTTTCTATCTTTCTCCTTTTCTTCCTCCCCACCCTTCTTTTCTTCATTTTCTATCTTTTTCCTTCTCTCCCCTCACCCTTTTTTTTTTTTTTCCTTTTTTTCTATCTTTCTCCTTTTTCTTCTTCCCCAAAAGGATTCTTTCTTCCTTTTTTTTTCTTTTTCTTTCTCCTCAAAGAAAATTCTTCCTTTTCTATCTTTCTCCTTTTATTCTTCCCCACCTTTCTCTTCCTTTTCTATCTTTCTCCTTCTCTTCCTCCTCACCCTTCTTTTCTTCCTTTTCTATCTTTCTCCTTTTCTTCCTCCCCACCCTTCTTTTCTTCATTTTCTATCTTTTTCCTTCTCTCCTCCTCACCCTTCTTTTCTTCCTTTTCTATCTTTCTCCTTCTTTTCCTCCCCACCCGTCTTTTCTTCCTTTTCTATCTTTCTCCTTCTTTTCCTCCCCACCCTTCTTTTCTTCCTTTTCTATCTTTCTCCTTCTCTTCCTCCCCACCTTTCTCTTCCTTTTCTATCTTTCTCCTTCTCTTTCTCCCCAATTTCTTTTCTTCCTTTTCTATCTTTATCCTTTTCTTCCACCTCACTTATTTTCTTCTCTTTCTCCCACCCTTCTTTTCTTCCCCCACCCTTCCTTTTCTCCCCCCCCACCCTTCCTTTTCTCCCCCACCCTTCCTTTTCTTCCCTTCCCCTACCCTTCCTTTTTTTCCCTTCCCCCACCCTTCCTTTTCCCTTTTATACCCTTTTTTTTCTTCCCTTTTTTACCCTTCTTCCCTTCCCCCACCCTTCTTTTTCTTCCCTTCCCCCATCCCTTCCTTTCTTCCCTTCCCCCACCCTTCCTTTCTTCCCCTTCCCCCACCCTTCTTTTTGAAAAATTTCCTTTCCCCCATTCCTTTCTTCCTTCCCCCTTGCTTCCTTCCTTTCTTCCCTCCCCCAATTTATTCCTTCCTTTCTTCCCTTCCCCCACCCTTCCTTTTCTTCCCTTTCTATCTTTTGCCTTCTCTTCCTTCCCCATCTTTCTCTATTTTTCTTTCTTCTACACCTTCTTCTTCACTTTCTCCTTCCTCCTTCACAATAATAGGCCAACCCTTAAGCTTAACCAATCGAACTACTTTTGCTGTTGAAAGAGGACATCTGCGGAGAGAGGTGGTTGCCTATTAATAATTATTATTGCTTTTTCTTTTTTTTTTTAACGATCTCAATATCCCGTCCGTCTCTTCTTATGACGATGATGATGACTGTCATTTTATGACGTTTTTATTGCTACCAATAACCAAAATTCTGATCTCCTCTCGTCATATTTCTTGTCATCATTTTAGGATTTCATTGAATACACACGTGTCGTGTAATTTTTAGAGACCCACGATTTTCCTTTGCTTCCTTCAATGAAGAAATCAACAACAACCTTCTGTTCTTGTTTGTCGTCCATATCATCACCAATTATATTTTAAATTTCCATTTTTCCTTCGTTTCTCTTTTATAAAGAAAACAGAAAAAGCACAAAGGTAAAGTTTGGTTTTATTTTCTCGTTTTTATTTTTTCTTACTCTCTCTGAGTCTCATCTTGTTTTTTTTTTCTCTCTCTCCAGTCGAAATAAGACGTTTATTTTTTTTAACCAAACAATTTCGATTTTTTAAAGGTAAATTAAAAAAAAAAAAAGTTTCTTTTGTGTTTACTTTTGGAAATTATTAAAAATGCTAATTTTATTTTTAATTCAATCTCTCTCGCTTGACAATAAACTAAAAAAAAGTATCTCGGATATTTTAAAGTTAGAAATTAAAATAAAAGAAAATAAAACGGGTGTTGAATTTAAAAATCCCTTTTCTTCTCCCCATGGTTATCTTCAGTACGTTTCACGACAAAGCGGAAAAACAACAAAAACACCTGCATATTTTTTGTTTTCAAATATTGAGAAAATAATTTATTCTTTTTTAAGTGATGAAAATTCGTTTAAATTTATTAAACGAATGATTGTTTTTTATTTAAAAATGATTTACTTTTTTTATCATTCTGTTAGTTAAAAACAAAGTTTTAAAAGATATTATTCGCAATGTGAGACGGAGTTTTTAAATAATTCATTAATTTATTTTCTTTTAGTTTTTAATTAATTTGTGTTTAGTTCCTGAGTTTTTTAGTCGCTCAGATCTCTTGTTATTTTTCTTTCTGTACTACTAACTAAAAATCACTAGTTTTACTTTTATCATTTTATTTACTAAGTTACTTATTTGTTAATTTTTTATTTTGACAACTGAAAAAAATAACTTTCAAATTTTCATAAAACTTTGACAATTTATTTTTTAAAAATTTAAAATAAATGTAATAATTTCACCTTCTTTTATTTTTCTGTCGCTCACCAGAAGAGTTTTTTTTTTTTTTTAATTTAGTTTTTTTAACTTTGTACATCTTTCTTTTTACTTTTAAAATAAGTCATAATTTAAAAAAATTTTTTAAACAAGAAACGACGTCCCCCCCCCACTTTTTTATGTTTAAAAAAAATTAATTAAAATACGATCTTTTGTGTTAATTTTTTTCCCATGAAAATGTTTTATTTTTATTTTTTGCGTATTTCTCTTTGTTGATGTCTGTCTTCCTTGAATTTAAAAAAAAATTCATTTCTAGCGAAAATTAAAGTTCAAAGCTGCAAAAAAAACCCCAGTCTATTGTTCCTTTTGATCACATTATAAATCAAATACCAACTTTTTTTTTTTTTTTTTTTTTTTTTTTTTTTAGAACCAATTTTAAACTTTCTCCCCAAATCATGAAAATCATTTTTATTTTATAAATAGCAGAAGAAAATACATTAGTCGAAATATATTATAATTTTAGCTGAAGGGAGTCTTTACTGAAGTTTCTATTTAATCTTAAATTAAAAAAAAATATAAACTTTTTCGGTAATATTCGAACTCTCGTCCCTTTTTTTTTTTTTTCCAAGTCAAGGAATTTTGATTTGAACCCACCAGCTGCTTTTTAGCTTTTTTTTTTTTTAACCGATTAGGCTATAAGAAAACTAAAACCAAACAAAGCTTCACCAACGATCAAATTCAAATTTAATATTTTTTTAACGAGCCCATCGTAAATAAATCCACCATTCATTCTCCGTGTTTTCTTCACACACTCTCCAACCTTAGGCAAGAATATTAAAGGAACGTGACCACGGTTTCTGCTGGGAAAGTTGAATTGAAACTAATTAGCCCCTGAGGTCCATTCCCCACCAGTCAGTACCTCTCCTTTTATTATTACCCGGCGCCCGAGGCATCAGCAAATAGAAGAAAAAAGGATTTCTTTATCAATTTTTCCATAGTATTATTATTACTGATAAAACACCTACTTTCAAGCTCGGCTTTTTGTGTCACATTCCGTAGCAATGTGGGTGCACTGAAAAATCCCCTTCCCTATTTTCTACATTCTCTCTGTACTGTTCTATGCCGTAGATCGACGGTCTGATCTGAATAAAAGTTGTCATAAGAAACAACGAATCTTTTTTTCTTTTTTAATAATGGCTAACAATCCGTTAAAGAAAGCTTTATAAAAGAAAGAAAAGAAAATACAATCGCACTTATCAGAAAACCTTTTTTCTCTGCATAATAACCACTGAGTTACCTTTTTTAAATATTCGACTTAACTTAATTTTTTAACTAGCTTTAGTCTGAACTATTGGGAAGTAATTCAGAAATTATTAGCAACAAACAGGAATAAAACGAAAAATATAGTGAAGCTATGAAACAACAAAAAAAAAAGGTTACTTCTTCAAACTTCTTAGTCGAAAAATTATTCCCATTCTTCAAAGAATCTGTTTGGAAAGAAACATTTTCCCAGAAATCTCGAGACATTTTATTTTATTCTCTACTTTTGTGAACTTTTTGGTAAAAATATTTTCCCATGTAAAATGAAATTATATCCGTCGGGCAGTCTTTTTTTTTTTTTTTTTTTTTTTTTTTTAAATGACTCAGTCATATTAAATTTCATTTTTTACTTTCGGAAAAATAGAAATAAATTAGAAGCCGGATTTTTTTTCTTTCAATTCTAAATACCCCGAGGGGGATTCAGAATATGAGGTTAAAAAATGTCTAGGGGAATGTCGACTAAAAAAAATAAGTCTTTTTCAAACAAGATAATTATTTTTCTTCTTTTTCTATAACACTGTCTTGTTTTATTTTTTACTGCCATTATTTACTTAGTTTCGTGTTTGTTTATCAGTTTCCTTTCATACAAACAATTATTTTAGACAAACAACGATTCTTGGCGAACAGGTTGTTCAAGGGAGATAACTCTACTTAAAAAAACGAAACTTGTTTTATTTTTTTGTTTTTTTTTAAAAGGATCTTTTTAAAGATCTTTGAATTTATTTTTTTAAAATTCTATTTTAAAGCAAGAGATAAAAATTCCTGTACTCTAAATATATGTACATGACTTAGTTTGAATATTAATAATTTTTGTTACCTATAAACATTTAAAAAAAATTTTTTTAGTCATTTTTAAAAATTCGTCGCAAAATTATTATTATGGATGGACATATGTCTTCTTTTCCAATTTTATATCCAACAAAAAAAAAAAAAGGTATCAATATTCAAATAAAACCTTTTTGATATTTCGGGAAATGGATTTTTTTTGTCTATTACTATTTAATTTTCCTATGGTGTCTTTGACTGACGATCAAGTGAAAAACAGGTTACTCTCCACTTCAGCATTCTCCTTAGGAAATTAAAACCAGGTAATATATGTCGTAGGAAAAAAAGAAACAAGACAAGGTTAGAGCTCAGCGGACAAACGAACTCTGCTTCTTATCCCCAAAAAGTAGACAAAATCCCAGTCTCCTAAAGAAATTGATAATTTAATAAACTTTTTCTTTTAATTAAAATTTTAATTTCAAGTTGAGACTATATTCTATATTGCTCTTCTTGGGATAAGGACAAAAATACTAAGTTACTTAACTACTAAGAAATATTTCGACTATGTGACCTCCTAGCATTGTTAGAAAAGAAAGAAAAAAAAGAAGCCTTTTAGATGTTGGATCGATTTACTATGAATTTCTGGTGTAAAAAAAAAACAGAGCAGACCCATAAACTCGTGAAGTATTCGACATAAATAAAGTATTATGTCATCTATGACATTCTTACCGGCCGCTATGAATGAAATATGAATTCATTGAAATTGTGACCTTTTTTTTCCTAGACAAAAATTGTGACTATTATTTTCTGAGAATTTATTACGGGCCATGGGTAATTTAGTAGATTTTTTTTAGCTATGATATGAAATTCCTCCAAAATTTGTTTAAAAAAAGCAAACCATGACCCCCCCCCCCCCGATTTGATAAAACATAGTTTTATAATCAAAAAAATGTTACAGTGTAACCCGGATATAAGAGAGTTGTCAGGACCGGAGAGGAAGTCTCTTATATCCGGGTTTGGTCTATTTTATATACATTAACACAGGCTCTAATTTGGGACCAGAGAAAATCTCTCTTATATCCGGGTTACACTGTATTAAAAGGAAAAACCAAAGTAGTTTTTGACTAATTTTTTTTTTTTTTTTTTTTTTGGTAAATAAATCCTTTCAAGCACGTTCGCAATTTTGGTTAGAAATCTTGTTTTTTCTTGCGTCAGTGAAGAGCTAAACAGATTAAGATGGGAATTTTTTTTTTTTTTTTTTTTAATTCTTGCAAAAATCAAATAATTGTTTACAGTACTTATTCACAAATGAATGAATGAAATTATTTTTAATTTTTACATCTGTTACTCCCACTTTATTTTATAAAATTTTGAGAAATTATGATTTCAGGGTCTTTGTATTTTTTAGAATAGTTAAAAAAAAAAAATCCAGGAGAATTTAAATAAATTTTTTTTTTTTTTTGTCTAACAGAACATTATTAGCATTTGCCATTTACCAAAAAACTGCTCTGAATTGTAAAATAAAAAAATGAAATAAAACTCTAATTATTTAATTTGAAAACCCTTTTAATTGCTTTTATTAATAAGATAGATTAAGGAACCTATGGTTTTAAAGAAAAAAAAAAGTTTTTTTCGATAGATAATGAATTTTTACAAAAATTGTCCTTTTTTTTTTTTTTTTTTTTTTTTTTTTAAATTTTAATTAATAAAATTATTAAATCTTAAGATTCTGTATTAATTTCAGTGGTTTTGATTATATTATTATGAAGGGAA